TGGTTGGCAGGCGGGGTCAGTGAACATTTTTTTTTAAACTAGATACCCCAATGATGATTGTGGCCAAGTTTGGTTAAATTTGGCCCATTATTTTTAGAGAAGATTTTTGTAAAATTTAACAGACGGTGTCGGATGCCAGACACCAAGTGATGAGAAAAGTTCACTTGGCCCTGTGGGCCAGGTGAGCTAAAAAGGAATGGAAATTGGTCCACAGAGTTTGATTATGTATAAGCAAATATAGAGAGCAATAACTCTTACAAAATTAATTAATCAACATGGCCATGTCCGGTCTGTGTTTTTGTTTGAAATTTTTCTGCTTTGTATCCATCTGATGAGTTAAGCCTTTTTCAACTACTTTTTATAGTTTGTTATTATGTTGTGCTGTTACACCACTGTCCCAGGTTAGGGGAGGGTTGAGCGCTCACCAACATGTTTAACCCCGCCACATTCTTTATGTGCCTGCCCAAGTAAGGACCCTGTAGTTCAGTGGTTGTCATGGGTTCATATCTGTCATATTTGTTTTTCGTAAATTGTTTTGTTAAAAATTAGGTCGTTTTTTTCTCAATTGAATTGTTTCATATTTTTCATGCTGGGGCCTTTCATACTATACGGTATGGGTTTTTCTAACTGTTGAAGGCCGTACAGTTGCCAAAAATTGCTTACATCCACTTCATTTGAACTTTGGTGGATAGTTGTCTCATTTGCAATCTTACCACATTCTTGTTCAAAACTTGGCAAGGGACATTTAACATACAAGAGTTTTCAATCCTACACATTATGTTCTTGAAAGAGTATACATGGGCTTTAATGCCAATTCAAATCCTTTGAATGCCTGTTTTGAGATATTCAGTTTATATAATAGGAGATTTCAAGAATCATGTCAACATCTCTCTTGGGGGAAATCCCCAATAGATCAGGTAATTTGGCAGGTCTGCCTGTGTTTATTCTACAGTACATATTAAATATATGTACTGTTTTGTTAAAAACTGTCATGCATTTAGGAGAATCATTTAAGCAAAAGTTATTGCAGTCAAGGTACTCATATTCACCTAGAAAACATTGCTAAAATATTTCCCTCCTGAAGGCTATCACATTCAACAATACCAATCAATTTTTCCTAGAATCTAGCATTTTCTTTTTTGTCTAGGAAACTCTGTAACATTTGTTTCGCTTCTAATTTCCAGGTGTTTAAAACTATTTCCTTTTCATAATAAATAAAATAATAAATATATTCTAAGAAATGTTACCTGCAGATTTGTGTTTGCGAAGTTTTAATTTTCTCCACATTTTTTTCATGACGGAATGAAATAAACGTCCATTTTCACAACATGTCTACTCCAACTCCACATTTTTCCAAAAAAAAGACATACAACCACAAGCCAAAAAAAAATAATTAGTCAACAAGAAATGATGTAAAAATATTACAAAACACACTGTAATCTGTTGACATAATGAGTTGTAATTATTGTCAAATAAATATGTCATTAGAATGATACACAAACATCTCGAATATCCTTAGGACAATTTCACTCAAATATAAAATACGATATTTTCAAAAAAATCTAACACTATAAGTTCTGTCAATTAAAAGAATAAAAAAAACACTCTTATTCTCAATTTTCTATACAAAATTGAAATACTGTTAAAATAATAAGGTTTAAATTCATATTTATATTTCCAGTTAAAACAATGAGGTTTGATTTTTATAAATACATGTATTTCCACCGGACATAAATAAAGGCAACCAGGAAGTTTGCCCAAGGGTATATATATATATATATATCATATGCACTTCTCTTCACACCATTGTCATTCCAAACAACATATAATCATATAAAGTATGTGTAAGTTGAAGTATCATTCTAGACAGGGGAAAAGCAAAAAAATTTTATATATTCTTCAATTAATATTTTAAATAAATTTTATAAAAAAATATTTTTCAAAAAATAATCACTAAAAAAAATTCCTACTACTAGATATCAAAAAACTGTTGCTATCAAATGTATAATAATTTAAAAATAATACAAAATGGTTTCATAAGAAATACATTTATACATTATACATGTACTGTATTAAACCTTTTAACCATTCCTACTCTTCTGAACATCAATACCGGGCAATTTTTTACCTAAAATTACAAAAAAAAAACCTTTATTTGGCTTAAAATAACCACCTCTGTTGATTTGTTCCATTATTATTACACAAGGAAAACATCCCATCATTAAAGAAAAATTTGTTATTGATAAAAAAAAATCCTTTTTCATGATTTCAAAATGTGCCTTCTTCAAATTCACAATGACTTGCATGAGGCTAATCATTTAACTTATTGCAGACAAAATTTTCCTTAAGGATGTACTTAGGTCAGGTTTAGGAATTTTTGTCAGATGTTCGGACTCCTTGGTTTTTTTCCGACGATACAGGGTAAACTGTTTTGCCCCATAACACCCATTTTTCTTTTCAAATAAGACTTCAATAGCTCATAAAAGGTCATTTACCAAAGTTTAAGCAGATTCTAGATTTCTTTGCTTTAGATTTGAGACCCAAATAATACCAATGCAAATATAAGGTAAAAGTCTGAGTCAGCCTTTTCCCACCATTTAAAAAAAATTAAATATCTCGAAAAGGAGCGCCATAACCTTTCAATATTTTTAGCTTATTTTGTTCCTTAACTAATGCTCTTCTGACTTATAGTTTCAATTTTAAATTTTAGATTTTTCAATTTTACCTAAGAGTACATCCTTAAGATTCCTTACTTTTGCATTTTTTTTTACATATATGGAAACTTTATTTGACTCACATATCTACCCTATTTCAAGTCCAGAGCAAAAGAGGTTCATAAAGGGTCAATATTGGCCCAAACATTCAAGTTCAGTAATTTTCATAAACATATGTTGAAAAAAAAAAATTTGTAAAAATATCTGATACATGCAAAATAAAAAAACTCACATACATTACACCAGTAATGATCAGACATGGATTAAGACAGGGGGAGGGGGAGGGGAGCATTGGTTTTGTAAAGCTCTTCAACTTCTTATTTGCTTTGGCCTTCCAACTGATTTGACTCTTTACACCACTAGGTCCGAGGACACAGTAGATTTTCGTTGTCTACGAATATAGTCCCTAGTGTGGACAGTGTATAACTTGCAAATTTTTTTCATACACTTTCCAAATTTATTTCTTTATATTTTATGCATGAAATATTAAGTAAGGGGGTGAAATTATATGTTAAAATAAACTGTTATCACAGAGATATGTCTCGCCTTTTTGTAATTTTGATAATGCAAATGTTGAAATTAAAATTGCAATACTTTAACATGTAAGTAATGCAAATATTCAAAGTCGATGAACCATGACTGAAGGTACATGCCTAAACAATCTCCATGGAATGAGATGTGCCAATGCTAATACAACTGCATACCAAATACCATTGACTTATTATAAGTCGTTCCCTTTAAACAAACCTAAACACAAACATTAACTTGTAAACTGCTATGTAAAAGTTTCAAAGTCAATGAACCATGATCAGGGGTGGGGCTACATAATCTCCATGGAAACGATACTTGCAAATGCCAATAAATTTGCATACCAAATATCAATGACTTAACATTAGCAGTTCATCTTAAAATGATCTAATCACAAACTAATACATGTAAACTAAGCAAAAGTTTCAAAGTAAATAGACCATGACTGAGGGGGCGGGGCCAAATATTCTCCATGGAAATGAGATGTGCCCATGCTTATACAACTGCATACCAAATATCATTGACCTACCACTGATGGTTCCCCATAAATTGACCTAATCACAAACTAATACATGTTAACTGAAAAGTTTCAAAGTCAATAGACCTTGACTGAGGGAGTGGGGCCAAATAATCTCCATGGTAATGAGATATGCCAATGCTAATACAACTGCATACCAAATATCATTGACCTACCACTAGTGTTTCACCATGAACTAGACCTAATCACAAACTAATACATTGTTGACGCCGCCCCCGCTGTCGCCGGAAACAGCATACCTATGTCTCGCTTTTTGACTTCGTCAAGGCGAGACAAAAATTGGGTGCTGAATCTTTATGTTAAGTAGTGATTTGGTCCAGTTAGAAAAGGTCGCAAATTAGTATGTCTGAAGCTGTTATACTGAATTTTAGACCCCCCCTTAACAAAGAATTGTCAATATTTTGAGTTAGAGCTGGTAGACTTTTCTATAGGTTGCATTTCTGAAATATAGACAATGCAATTTCCCATAGGAACTCCTTTTACGGCTAAAACTGTACCACTTTTACTATGAAGTTTTGAAAAAAATTATATCCTAGAATGGAAAGCTCATATGCACTACAATTTTTTTCAAAGGTCAAAATATAGGGCAGTGCGGCATATTTTCAACATTTATATGCCCTGAACTTCTAAGAGTTTAAACTTATACTAAAATTCTGTACTACCCCTACCTTCACTTTGGGTCTACCTCAGAATTCAAGGTGGCCGCTATTAATGTTTATTTATACTGGTAACATTCCCAAGTTATGTCGCTATGAGAAGATACATAGAGATCATATCTGGGAACCAGGACGTAAACAAAACAAAACTATCTATGAATATTACATATCTCCCAAAAAGAGGCGTGGTTTGTGAAACAGCTGTATTTACAAAGTGCAACCTATGATATTATTTGTCCCAATAGCAGTACCCTACACTGTAAAAATCTTTTTGAGATAGAGCAGGTGCGATTTTTTTAATTCAAATTTATTGTCTAAAAGAAATGTAATACGAAATAACTGTGTTCTCGGGCCACTGATGTAGACGAAACGTGAGTCTGTCTTACTAAATTATCAGCCTTTGATGACTTTTTTTTGGACCAATGAAAATGGTTATCAAGCAAAGCTTTAAACTGATCTGCCCCTTGATTGTCCTACAGAAAGTAAGTCTTACAGACAACTCCTTTCAAACAAGATGAATAAATCTCAGTATTTGAATTCAGTTCTTATTGCCATCAAACTTACCTGCGAGGAATAACTCTGTAAAATCGGTAAGGTCTACTAGGGTAGGAGATATGGAATTCCTGACCTTTACTAACGGTTCTCCTTTTCGTGTGCGAAGCCTTATGTAAGGTTTCAAGAAATCCTGAGATATAACAATGTTGACCTTCCATTTTGGATTATGTTCATCAGGCTGTATGTCTATTATGTGGTCTTCATCTTAAAGAAAAATAAAAAAGAACATGCAGCATTCGTTCATTCACAAACAAAACTATTACCTTTTCCAATGAATTCAATCTATATTTCTTAAGAGTTTAGTACATTTTGTTTGTTTGAGATCATTGTTATAGGTCACGTAACCTCCAGAATTTCTGTGATGATCAACTGTCATATTGATTTATTACATAACATCTACTTATTTTATATTTATAAGAATGATAAATGAATGTTGGTCTTATTGCTATTGAATATTTTAATATATAAATTGGGAGATGTGGAAATTTTTGCCAATGAGACAACTATTCATAGAGACCCATATTTAGATTGCTTGATTGTTGTTCGCTTAACGTACAGTGGCAAATATGTCATGCATGTTCGAGACGAAAACAAATTAAGAATAATTTACAACAGGTTGGTCCTGCAATAGAGGGTCAAGTGGAATAAAGGGAAAATTTTGAATGCTACTGAAAACAAGAGGCTCATGAGAGCCTGATATCGCTCACCTGTAATTTCAGTTTCAGGCATTTGACTTATTTATAGATCTTACTTTGCTGAACAATTTTGTCATTTACACTTTCTCTCTTTCTATAATAATATTAAAGATAAAACATAACCAAAAACTGTAAAATTTCTGAAAAATTAACTATTTCTGGACAGTAACCCAACAATAAGTTGTCCTATTGGTCTGAAGATGTGGAGCAGGATCTGCTTACCCTTCCAGAGCACCTGATATCACCCCCAGATTTTGGTGGGGTTCGTGTTGCCCCTCTTTTACTTGACAGGTAGATCTAAACCTGTTTAACACTTTCACCCATGTCAGTTTTGCTCTTACTGCTTTAGTTTTTGAGATGAAAGCCAAAAACTTTGTTTGACCCCTATGTTCTATTTTGAGAAACTGCCGCCATGTTTTTGAATGGATCAAATCCCTGAATACAATAAGATACCCTAAGGAACATTCAATTAAATTTTTAAAGTATTTGACTAAGTAGTTTCAGAGAAGAAGATTTTTATAAAAGTAATTAGACCTTCACAAAAAATGTAAAAAAAAACGTTTTAAGGGCAATAAACTCCTTAAAGGGTGAATTGACTATTTTGATCATGTTGACTTATTTGTAGATCTTACTTAGTTGAACATTTATTGTCATTTTTTATACATTCTCTCTATCTATTATAATATTAAAGATAATTACCAAAAACAGTAAAATTTAATAAAAATAAACTATTTCCAACAGTAACCCAACAATGGGTTGTTGAACTTGTCTGAAAATTTCATAACAGATAGATCATGACCCATTTATCACTTTAACTCCATTTCACTTTTGCTCTAACTGCTGTAGTTTTTGAAATATAAGCCATGTTTACTGATGGATCAAAGTTTCGGATTCACTTTACCAACTAGATACCCTAAGGAACATTCATTTAAATTTGGAAGTATTTGGCCCAGTAGTTTCAGAGAAGAAGATTTTTGAAAAAGAAACAGACTTGCAAGAAAAAATGTAAAAAATAAACATTTCAAGGGCAATAACTCATTAAGGAGTCAATTGACTATTTTGATCATTTGCCTTATTTGTAGATCCTACTTAGCTGAACATTTTTGAAATTTACACTTTCTCTCTATCTATTATGATATTAAAGATAATAACCAATAAATTGCTTCGATGAGCGCAGCTTGATACGATCACAAAGGTCCAACCCTGAACAGTTGGGGCAAAAATGGACACAATATTCGCGCTTGATACATGTCTGAATTTGGATTGTAATTAAATATTTGACACATAATAGGTTTCTGACACAGAATATCTGTAGTCAAAGAACTTATAATTGGTTATATAATTTTGAATTTATATTGTTTTTTGCTTTTGTGCAAGACGCTTTGCTGTTGCGAATTGACCCACCCCCCCCAAAAAAAAAAATTTACCCACTTTTTTTTGCTTTTGTGCAATACACTATGCTGTTGCATATTGAACCCCCCCCTTCCCCCCAATTTTGTTTCATCTCCCCCCTTTCCCTTTTTTTCCAAAAAAAAATCTTTCCCTCAAGATATGGTCATAATTACCCATTTAAATACATCATAAAAGTCTTAAAATAGAAAATGAGATACATAACCAAAGCTACAATTGATATTAATTAATAGTAACTTCTAAAGATAAATTGACAGCTAATCACCTAGAGACAATACATTATTTCTTTATACATAATTAACAAGCAGTGTAAGGGAGGTAATCTAAAACATACACAACATTGTTCTTTAAATGTATTTGGATTACCTCCCTTACACTGCTTTAAAATTGTATTAATTGTCCATTAATCAAGAAACCCTTGTTTTTCCCCCTTTTTTACCCCTAATTCCTAAACGGTTTGAGCCATAACCCCCCAAAGTAAATCCTAACCATTCCTTTGTGGTATGGAAACTTGTGGTATAATTTCAGAGATATTCATACACTAAAACACAAGTTATTGTCTGGAAACTACAATAAACTGTTATCACAGAGATATGTCTCGCCTTTTTGTAATTTTGATAATGCAAATGTTGAAATTAAAATAGCAATACTTAAACATGTAAGTAATACAAATATTCAAAGTCGATGAACCATGACTGAAGGTACATGGCTAAACAATCTCCATGGAATGAGATGTGCCAATGCTAATACAACTGCATACCAAATACCATTGACTTGTTATAAGTCGTTCCCTTTAAACAAACCTAAACACAAACATTAACTTGTAAACTACTATGTAAAAGTTTCAAAGTCAATGAACCATGATCAGGGGTGGGGCTACATAATCTCCATGGAAACGATACTTGCAAATGCCAATAAATTTGCATACCAAATATCATTGACTTAACATTAGCAGTTCATCTTAAACTGATCTAATCACAAACTAATACATGTAAACTAAGCAAAAGTTTCAAAGTAAAAAGACCATGACTGAGGGGGTGGGGCCAAATATTCTCCATGGAAATGAGATGTGCTAATGCTTATACAACTGAACACCAATTAACATTGGCCTACCACTAATGGTTCCCCTTGAACTGACCTAATCACAAACTGATACATGTTAACTTAGCAAAATTTTCAAAGTCTATAGACCATGACTAAGGAGGCGGAGCCAAATAATCTCCATGGAAATGAGATATGCCAATGCTTATACAACTGCATACCAAATATCATTGACCTACCACTAGTGGTTCCCCATAAATTGACCTAATCACAAACTAATACATGTAAACTATGAAAAGTTTCAAAGTCAATAGACCTTGACTGAGGGGGGGGGGCCAAATAATCTCTATCGTAATGAGATGTGCCAATGCTAATACAACTACATACCAAATATCATTGACCTACCACTAGTGGTTCACCATGAACTAGACCTAATCACAAACTAATACATTGTTGACGCCACCGTCGCCGCCGGAAACAGCATACCTATGTCTTGCTTTTTGACTCCGTCAATGCGAAACAAAAATGCTTATTTGGGCCCCTTTTTTGGCCCCTAATTCCTAAACTGTTGGGACCATAACCCCCAAAATCAATCCCAACCTTCCTTTTGTGGTTATAAACCTTGTGTTAAAATTTCATGGATTTCTATTCACTTATATTAAAGAAATGGTCCAGAAACCAACTGTCTTCGGACGACGACAACGATGTGATACCAATATACGACCACAAAAAATTTTTGCGGTCGTACAAAAACATTAAAATTTCATAAAAATAAACTATTTCTGACAATAACCCTACAATGGATGGTCCAATTGGTCTGAAAATCTGATAACAGATAGATTTTGACTTATTCATCACTTTAACTCCATGTCACTTCTACTCTAATTGCTATAGTTTTTGATATTAAAGCCAAAAACTGCATTTGACCCCTATGTTCTATTTTTAGCCATGGCTGCCATGTTTATTAATGGATAAAAACTTCGGATACAACTTATAAACCAGTTACCCAAGCTAAGGAACATTCAATTAAAGTTTAGAAGTATTAGGCCCAGTAGTTTCAGAGGAAAAGATTTTTAAATGTAAGCAAACATGATGAACAAATTGTGTAAAATTGTCTTTAAAGGGCAATTACTCCTTAAGGGGTCAATTGACAATTTTGGTCATTCAAATTTTTTGTAGATCTTACTTTGCTGAACATTTTTGCTGTTTACAGTTTATCTTTATCTTCAATAATATTCAAGATAATAACCAAAAACTGCAAAATTACCTTAAAACTGCCAATGTAGTGGCAGCAACCCAACAATGGGTTGTTTGGTTCGTCTGAAAATTTCAGGGCTGATAGATCTTGACCTACTGGACGTTTTCACCCTGTCAGATTTGCTCTATATGCTTTAATTTTGAGATATTGGCCAAAAATTGTATTTGACCCCTATGTTCTATTTTTAGCCATGGCAGCCATGTTTGTTGATGGATCAAAACTTTGGATAAACTTTATAAACTAGATACCCTAAGGAACATTCAGTTAAAGTTTGAAGGTATTTGGCCCAGTAGTTTCAGAGGAGAAGATTCTTGAAATAGTTTACAACGACAACAGACGATGACAGACGACAACAGACGACAACGATGACAGACGAAGACAACAGACAACGGACAACGACGGAAGCCAAGTGATGGCATAAGCTCTCATGGGGCCCTTCAGGCCCGGTGAGCTAAAAAGGTATAGAAATTTAGCCTTGCATTCTCATCCCTCAAAGAGTTGTTGTAGGGGTTTTTAACGTGCAGCACTTCTTCTACACAAGGCATCAGATTTAACGTCCCCATTCTGATTGGACATGGCTGTGAATTGATACATTCTGAACAGCCTAACCAACACCCAACTTTGGCAAGTGTTTTAGTGCCTGTCGGAAGAAGACCAAAAGTGATCATATTTCTCTACTTCAGTTATCCATGGGGTCCACATAGTTAGAAAAAGAATACATAACTGTATTAACAGTTTAAATAGGAGAGATAAAGTAACCCTGTCTTGAAAATTATTTTTATTGTTCTATATGTAACATTATTGTGCACATATAAAGCTGGCTTGATCCAACCTACACTTTGTGCCTATACTCAGGTGTGGCCTGTTGTACTGTCCAATATTGTTTAAGTAAAATTCCGCAGGAAAACAAGTTGCTATTGTTGTTTTTATTGAAACATGTTATTAGCCATTTGCTAAGCAGAGCATTTTTTTGAAGATGCAATTTGGTAGTTTTTAACTTGTTAAGATCTGCTCTTTAGCAATCAGTCAAATTAACCATTTAACTAGCAGCTGCATGGCTCCTTCAGTATAGGAGATAAATCTTGTATCACTTAGAGAAATGAAGTTAACATACTGAATTAGTAAGAAAAGTAAAATAAAAGTGAAACTAGTGTAAAATAAATAAGGAAAAGTAGGAAACAGGGAGTATTGGTGAAAATAACATTACTGACCATGACATGATATATATCTTAACTAAAGAACCTTAAGCGAGCAAGCTCACATACCCCAGGACCCTATATAAAAAGCAAAAGCCTTTGGTAACCTGCTGGCATATTTATTTTTGTTAACTCTTAGGTATGACTCTATTATTATGATTTCAGACAATAATATTTATGTTTTACAACAATCTATTTTAGGTATCTTTGACTGACCTTGACCCAAGACCTAGTGACTTCAAAATCAACAGGAATTTTCCTCTAATTAGATGTGACCACATTTCCCAGTAAGGTTGCAATCAGATTTTAAATACTTGATGAAGCATCAAGGAAACCACATTCCTTCACACATTTTGGTTTATTTTTTGTAACTATTTCTTTGACCTTAGATGTAGTGACCTCAAAATGAATAGGGTCTTCCACTCATAATAAGAGACCACACACACACACAAGTAAAGTGGCAATCCAATAAAAAAAAATGATTTAGCATCCAAAAAATACTTTCTGCACAAGTTTTAGTTTATTTTTGGTAACTTTGACCTTGACTTTAGATGTAGTGACCTCAAAATCAATAGGGATGTTCCGGTCCTATTATGTGACCATATATCAAAGTAAGGTTGAAATCATTTAAAAGGTATTTGAGTAAGCATCAGGAAACCACTTTCCTGCACAAAAATTAGTCTGTTTTTAGTAACTTTGACCTTCACCTAAAAGAAAGTGACCTCAAAATTAATAGGGTCTTTTTCTGTATGTGACCAAATATCAAAGAAAGGTTGCAATCTGATATAAATTAAATTAGTTACCATCAGGAAATAAAATGACTGACACACTAAAAGGTCAAAAACTATATTCCTCTGCAACTTAGTAGCTAAGGGTATAATGAATGCAACATACATAAGGTATACTAACCAAATCTATGAAGTCACAAAAATGTCATAAATCATTACTAAGTACTTACATTGTTTGACAAGTCCTATGTCCAGATCAGATATATCAGATATAGATAAATCCTGGCCCATTATCCCAATCATTTACATTTTGCTTTGATTCAACAATTTGCTTAAAGTCAAAGAATCAAACGTGATAATCTTTTTTTTTATTGCATAACACACTTTGAATGCTTAAATTTTCTTCCTCTTAATTCAAGCAAAATATAACCAAAACACTTTTTATTACAAAAATAATTCATTTTTTTCTCAATTTAAAACATTTTTGTTTAAGTTATTTGACATCATTTGATCTCCATTTCTAAATTATCATTTTTTTATTTTAAGCCTTCCTGTTTCCAATAGATTATCAGTTAAGTTGTTTTTGGAAATTAAGGAAGTTGAATAAAAATAAACACGATGAGAAACGATGATTGTAACACAGAATCAGTTTCATACACCCTCAATGTCCTAGTTACTAATCCTCATAATTAATTAAGGGAATTTATGAATAAAATCCTCGTCAGGTACAATCATCTTTTCTTAAAAGTTTTTGAGTCTGAAAGCCTCATACTTGAAAATATTCCACTCTTTCACAATTAAAAAGTTTTGAATCTGAAAGCCTCATACTTGGAAATATTCCGCTCTTTCACAATTATTAAACAATCAAAATGCATCTGTAAAATTTTCTTAAATGCATTTGGATTTCTTTATAACAGAATTTAGTTTACTTCCATATTTCTTTAATTAGAAAAACACATTATTTCTTCCATTTATTTTTGTTAGAGGATAGCGATAATTAGTCTGCAAACATCGAATCTTTTTTTTTCACTGTGCAGCAATTATATTTTAATCATATCATAGAACTAATCAGGTTATTACAGTATAATGTGTATAATTATCCAATCAGAAAGAGATAAATGAGCTACAAAACCATCAGAAATTTCTACTATTGTTAACACAGAATCTGGATGCAAAAAAATACCTACCAATAATTATGAAAAATAGAATTTTTTTCTTTTATAGGTTTAATAATTGATTTCATTGACCCCCTATTTAAAATCAGTGAAATCAAATTAAATAAAATGCTTCGCTGAGCGCAGCCTGATACGACCGCAGTGGTCGAACCCTGAACAGTTTGGGTAATTTTGGACACAATATTCAAGCTTGATACTATCTGAATTTGGATTGTGATCAAATTTTTGCCATAATATAGGTTTCTGACACAAAATAAATGGTCAAAGATTTTACAAATCTAATGCGCAATACTGTGCAATTAAAGATTTCTTCTTGAAATTTTTCAAAAATTTGAAATTTAAAAATGTTGAAAAAAAAATATGAACCAATTAAAAAATATTGGAACCCCCCCCCCCCTTTTCAAACCTTTTGAATCCCCCTTGGAGCATTAACCATCAAATTCAATCTCAGTCTTTCCTTTGTAGTATGGAACCTTGTAGTACAATATTAGAGAGATCCATACACTTAAAACATAAGTTATTGTCTGGAAACTTTATAAATGTTTGTTTTGGCTTTTTTTTGCACTTAATTCCTGCATGTTTAGGGCAATTACCCGCAAACTCAATCCCAGCCTTCCCTTTGTGATATGGAACCTTGATGTACAATGTCAGAGAGATCCATACACTTACACACAAGCTATTGTCTGGAAGCTACAAAAATGCTTGTTTTAGGCCCCTTTTTGGCACTTAATTCCTAATCTGTTGGCACCATAACCCCCAAAATGAATCCCAACCTTGTACTTGTGGTATTAAACATTGTGGTACAATTTCAGAGCAATTGAAATACTTACACTCAAGTTATTATCCTGAAAGTAGAAAAATGCTTGTTTTGTGTCCCTTTTGGGCTCCTCATTCATAAACAGTTGGGACAATCATCTGCCAAATAAATCCCAATCTTCCTTTTATGGTATTGAACCTTCTTAAAAAATTTTATAGAGATCCATTCACTTAAACTAAAGTTTTTGTTCGGAAATCAAATGTGTTTTCAGTTGACGACGATGCAAACGATGACGACATCATAGCACTATATGAACCCATACTAAATTTTGCAGTCTTATATAAATTGCTATTCAAAAGATAATGGAAAATTAAGCGCATATTTTAAATTTAAATTTGCTTTCAATCTTTAATATATAAAAAAAATGAACAGCAGAAGAACCTTAACAAAATTTAGACTGAGTAACCACAGTTTCAGAATTTGTAACTCTAATGCAAAAAATAAACCAAACCCATTTAAATACATCATTAAAGTATTGAATAGAAAATTTAAATACATCATTAAAGTATTAAATAGAAAATGACATCATAGTCATGGCTAAAAATAGAAAACCTTGATCAGCAAAATTTAATAGTGATATCTAAAAATAAATTCCTTCATCAGCATTTAATATAAGGTCTAAAAATAAATTGACAGCTAATCACCTCAAAAGAATACAACATTTCTTTATAACAAAACCATTGAGAACTTAGAATTGGTTATAGGATTTGAATTTACACTCAATTTTTTGCTTTTGTGCAATACACTATGCTGTTGCGAATTGCCCCTTCCAAAAAATAAAAAAAATTACACCCCCCCTTTTTTTTTTCGATTTTGTGCAATACACTATGCTGTTGCATAATGACCCCCCTCAAAAAAAAAAAAAATTTAAATTTAATATGAAGAAATTTTCTTTTTTAATTTCTGAAATCTGAAATGAGAAAAAACTGTCAACCTCCCACAATTTCTTTTTTACCCCCCCCCCCCTTTTTTTCACCTCCCCCACCCTTTTTCCAACCCCCCCCCCCCCCCCAAACAAAAACACAAAAAAATTTACCCCCCTTTTTTTTTTAATATTTTTATCCCCCCCTTTTTTTTGCAAAAAAAAAAATATATGAAGAAATTTTCTTTTAATTTCTAAAATCTGAAATGAGAAAAAATTGTCCCCCTCCCACAATTTCTTTTTTACCCCCCTCCCCCCCTTTTTTTCACCTCCCCCACCCTTTTTCCAAACAAAAAATTCTTTCCCTCAAGATATGGTCATAATCTCAATTCAAATTTCCATTGGAGTTTGCAACCATAATTACCCATTTAAATACATGTACATTATAAAAGTCTTAAAATAGAAAATGACATACATAACCATGGCTAAAATCAATATTCCTTAATCATCATAAATTTAATAGTAACTGCTTAAAGTAAATTGACAGCTAATCACCTCAAGACAATACAACATTCCTTTATACATAATTTAAAACATTGTTTGTGTTTGGATTACCTCCCTTACACTGCTTTTAAATTTTCTTAATTGTACATTAACCAGGAAATCCTTGTTTTTACCCCTTTTTTGCCCCTAATTCCTAAACGGTTTGAGCCAAAACCCCCCAAAGCTAATCCTAACCATCCCTTTGTGGTATAGAAACTGGTGTATAATTTCAGAGATCCATACACTTAAACACAAGTTATTGTCTGGAAACTAAATAGATGCTTATTTGGGCCTCTTTTTGGCCCCTAATTCCTAAACTGTTAGGATAATAACCACCAAAATCAATCCCAACCTTCCTTTTGTGGTTATAAACCCTGTGTTTAAATTTCATAGATTTCTATTTACTTACACTAAAGTTATTGTATGGAAACCAAGTGTCTTCGGACGACGACAATGACGACGACAACGACGACGACAACGACGTGATACCAATATACGACCACAAAAATTTTTTGCGGTTGTATAAAAAGCAAACACATCAAACATGGGTCTATATTACTATAATAACATAAATGGTACCAATTTTTCTGCACCAGATGCGCATTTCAAGGGGGTCCAGAATTGTTGGCTAAGTTTCAGTAACAATGTACCTACCATTTTGCTTTTACTCAACCTTTCCTTTTACTTTACGCCCAAAACCAGTTTTTTTTTTATTGTTTTATTATGACAAAACATTCAAATTTCTGATTTGCTTTAACAGACCTGAACAATATTTACCTATAAAGGGAAATAACTCAATACTTTTCTGTTTATAATGTTATGTTAAAACTAAAGGTCTTGTTAAATAGAAATACCTAATTTTTTTCAAATAAGAGATATATACTAACTAATTTAAAGGGGGTTGAATGAAAATAAAGAAGCCAAAATTTAGCAAAAATGAATTTTTAAAAATTAAAATTAAAACTACTAAGTGCTGAAATTATTCCTATACAAAAAAAACACAATAATTAATAAAACCAATTTTTAAGTCTTACACAAACTATGTTGAATCCTTGATACCAAATTACATGATTGTCTGCTGATTTTGTTTATAGAAGGAAGTGGTTAACATTGTTTACAATATAGTACTTCTGTGCAGATACTTCAAGCTATCATTGTTGATTTGCACATCCAGATGGCTTCTACTTAAACAACTGTGATTAATTTATAATCCTTATAACTGACAAATGGTTTACTGGTATGATTGATTTTTCTAAAAAGCCTTCAGAATGGTTTCTAAATCTTATTCATTTATCCAGTATACCAGTATAATTATCCAATTTTAATCAATATACCATTATCTGTGAAATTCAATTTAAACTGCAGAGTTATATAGAAATAATTTCTCCTTTCATCCCAAATCATTACCACACAGGCTTATTCAAATAAGCTGATGAATTAGAAAATCAATTTTTTGGGGGGATATATGTAAGTTCATATCTAAATGAGCTTAGGAAGAAGGTACACTACCTAATAGGCTAATTCAAACATTTTTAGGGAATACATGAGGGTCGGGGTTGGGTTTGCAGAATCGAGAAAAATGGGTCAATATTACAGAAAAATGGACTAAAAAATCAAGAATAGAGAAATTAGGCAAAAAAAATAAAGATTACCGGTAGAGCATAATGCGCAAAATTGTAAAAGAATACAGAAAAATGGCTTGAAAAAATTAAAGAATACAGAATTGAAGGCCCCTCTAATTGATTGATTGATTGTTGCTTGCTTAACATCCAGTACTTTGTCTAAATTGTTGCTAAAATTGCACTGCACCTGTTTCGTATGAGACATTCAAACTTTACGAAATTCAATAAAACCATTTTCTTGTAAAGATTCAGCTGATGATTTAGGAAATCTATTTCTATTAACATTTTTACAGTTTTCTTTAAAATTACCATGACAATTACTCTTTAAAAATTTATTAGTTTTAAAATTCACAATGAAATCAAAATGTACATAAAGTAATTTACATCTTATAAAGTCCCAAACAAAATCTGAAAGCTTCCATTTGCAAATCGTGCAAATGCTCTTTTTTAACTGTTTGTTCAGTTGCGCAATGATTGTGTAAAGTGCTTAACATAATAGACCAGATGACTTTAAAACCGTTAATGTTATTATAACCATCAAGAACCTGTGAAATAAAACAGCAAATCATGTATACACATGCTAAATCTATGTTCAAATTGTTTAATAGTTTCTGGCCACCCAAATACCACTTTCAGTTTCATTCCTCGATAGGTACAAGTCATCTTTAGATTAATTCAATCATGAATCATTCTGTTTCAGGTATAATATGATAAAAGTTATTTCCCTTGATGGAAAGTAATCCAATGCAGAGCAATTGTTTAGACTACAAATTGCAGTTTTTTTATAGTTCAGAGAACAATTCTATTGTGTGACATGAAATAATTGGGTTAATTTTCATTTAAATGCAAAAAATGGTGAATAACACTAAAATTAACAATGTGCGATGAATAACCCTTTTATTCACCGATGATTTACCCTTTCTGCCTCTAGCTTTATACACAAGTTATCAAAATGATGTCACTGACTAAGGTATGTTAGCACAATGGCAATGACAATGGCTAGGTAAGAGGTCAATTGAGAGATGACGAAACAAGTATTGGAAATTCATTTATATATATAGTGAATATGATAGCTTTCACAAACAGCCCTTTTCAGGGTCATCAATATCATAAAGAAAGAGCCTTTGTTGTACATATACATGATATAAGGAATTTTAAGACACAAAACAATTCTCGGACTAAGTGTGTTGACAATCCCTTACTACAGTAAGGCATGTGCAGGAGCTTCTTTAACAGGTACATGTATTTTCATTGGTTTGAAAAGCCATCCTACTGTTAGTTTGGTATAATTAAACTATCCTGGTCCCTTAGAAGCAGTTCATATCCAAAATTGTCAAACCTAAAAAGTTATTTCTGACTCCACCCTCTGAGAAATAACCTTTTAAGGTTGAAAATTTTAGATATTCACCCTTCCTTCAGGCCAAAATTATTATATAAACATATGAAAAATAAGCATTTGGGACAAGAGCGCATGATACACCCTATTTGTGCATATTAAATTTATTGCAAGAATAAATGGAATATATATAAGGCATTTAATTAGAAGCAAATAAAATGGCTCTGTAAATAAGCATGCATGAGAATACGCTTTGGCATATAAATATTGTGTAAAATATGACTGTTCAAAGTCCCATAACTCTGGAATGACAGACCAGACAATTTTCAAAATCAAAAGCTAGTTTCATCCACCAATCTCAGCAACAGGTTTAGGTTTGTAGTAATTTGATCCAAGCATACTAGAGCTGCTGCATGACATTTAAAAAAATGGCTTTGTTAAATTGATGGTCGAAGTCTATAACATTGGAATCAGGGGTGGATCCAGGATTTTAGGTTAGGGGGGCCTGGGGCGCAAACTGATTTTTTTTTTTAGGTAAAATTATCGATATATTCTTTATTAAGCTGAGGACAACAAATCCTTTGCAACACCACCGCCTGAATCAGCCCCTGGGAATGACATATCAGAATTTTTTTCAACTCTAACAGTGTGTTATGTTCACCAACTTTAACAATTATGTAAAGTTTCCAGTAAACAATCCAAGCAAACTCAAGCTATGGTACAACATGTGAAAATTTATTTTAAATCTGACAATTAAAGTCCTGTAACTCTGGATCCTGTATTAGACCTGTATTAATGATCAGTTCTCAGACATAACGAGTTATAATAATTCCACAATTTATAATGTTTAATGTAGATGTATTATAAATTCATATAACAAGACAACAAAATAAAATATGAATCAGGGCCAAGGGGATAATAGAGCTAACAGGATCAAGGCGTGAATCAAGGCAAATGGCACAGGCACTTCGGAAGGACGACTTTCCATATATAATGGATAGCGCTATCTTCCTATTGATAGTTCTAAACAAAATCCTGTGCTGAAAGGACCCAGATTCATTTAATCACCTATCATTGTGCAGATATTGTCCCTCTATTGTCCATGTCAATCAATAGAGTTCACAACAATAATTACATAATTTACGGGAATTTCTCAAACATCTATCTCAACTATAGTTTATTAAGGTGACCTTTCTCTAGAAAACGAAAAAATGCATAACAAAATCCAGGCTAGTTTTTAGTTTTCTCATTTCTGTGTAACCTGGTAAAGGAGAGTCTTTAAAATAAAATACCAAATTTTGGTAACAAAATATTCTCCCCTTTATAGTGGACTGTCAGGGGAGGATTCAGGCGGGGGCGTGGCTCCGCTCGGCGAACGTTTCAGTATACTTATGACCTTTTTCACAAATTACATAATTGTGTACATTGTCACATGACTGTAACATTCATTTATGATCCAACTTACAACTTTTACAGTTCTACTTTCTATTTTCCCACGTTTTCTACTTTCTCTTTTGAACTTCCGGCTGACGGAATACCTCTGGACTGTTCCATGCTATTGTTGTTTAAATTACTCTTGCTGAAATGCATAGATTAGCTCGTCTTACCCAAGCTATAGTGTAAGAGTAACGAACTTTTAGATCAACCAAGAAATAATACAATACATAATTTCAGTCAACTACTTCACATATTATGCCTTTATACTTGAATATGACTGTCAGAAAGAAGTGTGACCTACTTTCACTTTAACAACCTGATTACCTTTGGAATCCACAACTGATAACATTTACAGGTCTTCTTTTTTTCTATTTTTCTATTAAGCAAAATGAAGGTCATCATTACAATACAATATGAGCTTGTAGGGTTTCACAGTTTACACTTGGTGTCCATGAATAAATAATTTGTGTTGCACTTCTTATTTCCACATAATACAACAGTTATGCTACTAAACATACATATTCACGGTAGTGTGACATACATGCATGGTCACAGTGGTGTGACCATACACTCATATCATCAGTGTGCTCGTACACTCATGGTCACAGTTCAGGTGTTTCCATAATAAATGCATGATTGCCAATTATTAAAAGAAAACCTTTTTCACAATAATTTATAATGCCAATATATACTGCCTTACTGGAGTAGGAGTGCTGAATTATTCCTTTTTCTATAGTACTGATAAATTCCAAATTAATTAAATCTCTGTTTTAAGTGCAAAAGATATCAATGAAGACATAGAAAGATGCTATTGGTAAACCTGTCCGTCTTAGGCTTCTATTTTGGCATTGCACAAGTCATGTCTTCTTTGACTGTCCATGGCGTTAAAACACTAAATCGCTGGGATGTGTTTTAATTGATTTTAGTCTCTGATGCATGATTTTTTTATTGTTTATTGTTTTTGGCTTTTAACTAGCTTTCAGTAACTGTGAGTACTTTCAAATCGTACTTTTGTGTTAATTTGACCTGTTGACAAAATTTGTAATGCATTTCTGTAATTCAATGTTTACTTATTTTGTGTTAATTATCTCGTCTCACTTTTATTTAATATGTACCACCTTTGATAAGTATTTAGTATGACGATAAATTTTCACTTCTGTACTCGTACTCTGAACAACAAATTTATTAATTTTGTAAAAAATGTTTACTTCCGTACTAACAACAAAATTATTATATTTAAATTTACCTGTGTACGTTGTTTTATTTAACGCCATTTTATCCCAGGTTAGAGTTGTCTTATTGATATTCTTCCTCCAACTTTTTTATTACTACCTGTAACTTCTATGTTATATAGGCACCTACGTCTTAATATTGTATTTATATTGTGTCATAGATCAAACTTATTCGTTCAGTGTATGTTTACTTGTTTTTGTTTAAATGTCTTTTTGATCGAGTTAAACCATTTCCATTGATATTTTATAGTGTGTTTTTTTATGTTGTAATGTTACACTACTGTCTCAGGTTAGGGTGAAGGTTGGCGCTTGTTAAAACGTTTAAACCTGCTGCAATTTCATGCACCTGTCCTAAGTCAGGAGCCTGTTGTTCAGTGGTTGTCGTTTGTGGTGTGGTTCTTAGGTGTTTCTCGTTTCGCTTTTTTTATATAGATTAGACCGTTGGTTTTCTTGTTTCACTCACTCACTCACTCACTCAGAATTGTTTTACACTAGTCATTTTGGGGCCCTTTTTAGCTAGCTGTTCGGTGTGAGCCAAGGCTCCGTGTTGAAGGCTGTACTTTGACCTATAATTGTTAACTTTTTATACATTGTGACTTGGATGGAGAGTTGTCTCATTGGCACTCATACCACATCTTCATATTTATATTCGTTCTAATTCACAGTGTTGTTGTCATAAAAAATCATATTTTAATGAATACAACCTAAAACAATTAAGAAATATTTATTTTTTTAACAAAACTTAAGATTGCCAACTTTGTTTTAATTGGAGACATCTGTTGTTCCCCCATACATACATCGGTATCTCAACAGAAAACCCTTAAAAGAAAAAATCATAAAAAAAAATGGATTCTCAGGTAATATTGTAGTAATGTCCATTGTAATTTGGCAGCTTCTATGGAGCTAACTTAATGTGATTGCTTGTTGTGTGTAAATTACCAATTGCATTCATTGCATTTATTTTAATATATATTCAACTACAGTACCATTGGCAGTTGTAATATTTCCATGGTGACACATTGATCAAATTAAAAAGTGTTTCCAAATGTTATGAAAGCAAATAACTACACATGGTATTTGAATAAGACAAAAGCAGATTGGAAATAAATCAAGATATCATGTATATCATCTGTGAAAATGCCATAATCAGCACTATTTCATAATGTATATTTATTTAGATCTGAAGCCAGAAGAACAATGTTTACAGCAGCAGTTTGTACAGAGATTAGCAAACCATTGGAGATTCAACAGAAGAAAGACCATCAATTATCTCCTTATGATGATGAGGTAATAAAGCTTAATTCTAAGGCCTAAAAGAAAAGCTCAATTTGAATGCTATTGAACCTTTTATGATCATAATCATGATAAAAAATCTATAATTGTTATAATTGTTATTATTTTATTCCATTTTATACCTGAACCTATACATATATATACATGATATAAGAATCAAATCTTTGTCCTTTCCTCAGATCTACTATTATTGTCCTATCCTTTATTTTTATTGTGTCACTGGCCTCACAAATCTATGTCCCTTCTTTTCTCAAATTTTTGTCCTTTTCAACAAGTAATTTCCTGTACATTGTGTTGAGTCAGAATTGCCAAAACATCTTCAAGGATATGACGGTAAAATAGATTTGAGTATTCTTAGATCTATACTAAATGTTGTTTGTGTTTTTTACTTTTTTAAAGTTTATTTTGCACTTTGTGTTGATCTGATGAGGCAAGCCATTCCCAACTGATTTGTTCTTATGTTGTGTTGTCACACCACGTTCCCAGGTGAGGGGAGGGCTGAGTGCTCATAAAACACCCACCATATTCGATAAGTGCCTGTCTGTCCCAGTCAAGTCAGGAATATGACAGTTGTTTTTCATTCGTTTGATGTGTTTGAGCTTTTGATTTTGCAATTTGATAAGGGATTTTCCGATTTGAATTTTCCTTGGAGTATTGTATTTTTTTTATTGACTTTTTTCCAAAGTCACATTACATTACTGAAAATCTACCTGGTAAAAAGAAGACAGATTAGATTAAACAAGGGGCCACAAATTGGTTTCATGACGTCACAGGACACAGATCTATAGAAAGAACAGTTATATATAAGGCTGAACAAAGCGGCATTGATTAGAGTGCCATGACATAACAGATCTAAAAGAGAGGCGAAAGATACCAAAGAGACATTCAAACTCATAAGTCAAAAAATAAACTGACAATGCCATGGCAAAAAAAGAAAAGACCAATAGACAAACAACATTATACAAAACACAACATAGAAAACTAAAGACTGAGCAACACAAAAAACCAGAGGTGATCTTAGGTGCTCAAGAAGCAGATCCTGCTCCACATGTGGCACCGGTAGTGTTGCTCATGTAAGTACAAACACGGTGATAAGTCTAATTCATTAGGTCACATTCCAGGAAAAGGAGGTCAGGATTGTGGTTTTTGACAGAACACAGATTTATTTGAGACTGGACATTGGTTTGACATTTACATATATTTAGATATCTATTTTATAGGTGTTGCTTTCTGTAAAATACTGTGGTATTAATTTTGCTGATATTCTGGTGTGTCAAGGAAAATATCAGTCCAGTATTCCAGTACCATTTACTCCAGGTGCGTAACAAAATGAAATCTATGTCTAACTTAATAAGGGCTTGAGAAATTAATAGATATATTGTTTTTGATACTTATAATTATTTTTCTGGTCATCAGGAGGGAAAATGATTTTTCAAAATACCCTAAACAGTTGTATTTTGCTACAACTTGAACATGTGTTCAAAAATGAATTCTGATGGGTATCACACATAAACTTTTAAAAAATTAAGTCATATTGATGCAGTTTGGTAATCCAATAATTGAACTGGTTTCATTTCAAGAGTGTTATAAGGATGTATTTGATATTTCATTGATTGAGGGCACATACCGAAATAAATAATTTTTTAGGGTTGACAATTTTGGATATTCATCGCTTTGAAGGGGCCACAATTGTTTTTAACTTTTATTATACCGAACTAACAGTGGAAGGGCCTTTTGAACCATTGAAAAAGCACTTACCTTACTGTATTGTAACAAACACAAGTTAAATTAACGTTCGAAAACAAATTTGTGTCTTGCAATTTCTCGTATGTATAACAAAGGTAGAATCTTTTGTAAAATATTGATGGCCCTGAAAAGGACTGTTTATAAGACATATCCTCGGCACTAGATGCATTTCCAAACCCTTGTTTCCTCCTCACTCGATGGGCTTCCTGTAACGTGAACATTGCCATTTTGTTTACTTACGTCTGTGATGTCATTTTCATGGGAGATAACTCGTGTACAAATCAAGAAACTTAAAAAGGTTATTCATCGGTGAATAATAGGGTTATTCACCGCTGGGTGTGAATTTTATACAATTACTGTCTTTTGATGAGTTTTCAAAAGTCAATTAAACCACATATTTACCGAAACAAAAGACACTTATTGTTTTATTCCATATTCCGAGAGAAATGTATGTAATGGCAATTATTTATCAAAACCAATTGTACATCAAACTTTTTTTACCAAAATTATGCACGTAAAAGCACGCGACGTTTTGCGTGGTGATTATACTTTTTCCGCAGGTGAATATGCTTATTTATTCAAAATCCCATTCATATAGAAAAGCCTACTAAAATCTTATCAATATGGAATAATTAGGGTTATTCATCCTTCCTTGCATTTAAATGAAAATGAACTGAATTATTCCATGTCACGTGATAACATTTTACCCAACAGAATTGTTTATGATATATGTAAGGTATAATAACATTAGATGTAACATTTATAGAATAACTAATCGAAGAATTCAAATAGAGAAAAATATTCAACAAGTGACCGAACAACACATTAATTCACGAATGCGCGTAGCGCATGAGTTAATTATCAGTGTTGTTCGGTCACGAGTTGAATATTTTTCGATATTTGAATTCTTTGATTAGTTAATTTTTTTTATTACATTGGCAAATGCTTTTTTTAATGAAATTAATGTAGAAAATGTAAGGAACTATATCTTTTTTCTACGCATTCACAATTTGTTTTGATCCGACGTTATCGACGTCTTGACAACGCCTATTGTTGTATGACGTCAGAGAGTGAAATAACCACATTTATTTCACATGTGAAATTATCGGTTTTTATTTGACTGGGAAATCAATGTAATTCATTGCTACCAATAAGTTCTTTTATTAGAAAAGTGAACAAACTATGTTGTTCAAGCAAAACCTGTAAATATACGTGTATCATAAAGGTTATTTATACATAATTCATTGTTAAAAGTCAAAATGAAAAAGTGCAAACAGTCATCTATTTATAATAAAAATTGTTTCTTTAATAATTGAAGGATGGAGAAATGTGAATACATCGATAACAAAGAGAAAGATTGATATAATAAATAATACCTGAAAAAGATTGTAACTTTTGTATTCTATTGTAGGGTTATTACAGAGAAAAAATTCAAGGATATTCATTCTTGTTATCCTAAAAGAAGAATTCAATGGGAATAGAAAATTAAATACTCTTAAATACTTCATTACACAAAATTTTCATCTTAATTTAAGTTTTTGCAAAAGAAAATAAAAAATCTTTTTATGTATTTTTCTTAATGAACATAGAAAAATGCACAAATTTGACTCCCTAATCATGTTTTAACCAGTTGTTGAATGTTAAAGTTATTGGTATTCCAGGAACTGAAGTGACTGGTATTGTTGAAGAGGTTGGAAAAAATGTAAAAACACTTAAGAAGGGAGATAAAGTGATTTCACTAATTATGAATGGTGGATTTTCTACTCATTGCATTTCACCAGCGATGGTTAGTATTATGGTTAATTTCAAGAACACATTGTATTATACTATAACACGTAGAATTGGCAGAATATGCACAAATAACCTACTCTGTCAGTGTCTATCCTTAATTTTGTCTATCCATCCACCTGATTGCCAAACTTTTGTTACAATTTAACAATTTACTGAGCTTCTGTGATCAAATTTGATTTCATATTTGTCTTGCCTTTCATGATCTGCTGGTATTTTCTGTAAGCCAATAGTTAGATGAAGGTAAAGTTTTATATTGTATCACGATCTTGATAATGTTGAGTTGGACTGGTTAAAGACATTTGAGATCTACTGTTTAACTTCTTTCTGTTTGCTTTCATTTTTTTTTTAAACTCAAAGTCGCAGAATGGGAGACTTAGGGTTTACTATAAAAGCTATATATTTCAGAAGGTAGAAGACCTGGATGCTTCATACCTTGTAATCAGATACCTTATGTGACGAAGTTTTCATCTTTTATATGTCAATTGTCCTTGACCTCATTTTCATTGTTTAGCGACTGATTGAAATGAAGTATATTTTTTTGTCATGTGAAATACTCACTTATTATGAATAATAGGATAACTATATTGGTATTTGGGATCCTTGCAAGTTCTACATGTACGTCAGACAGGGTTCACCTGACCTTGACCTCATTTCATAGATCAGTGAGTAAGGTTAAGTTTTCATAGTCAAGTCTGTATCTCATATACTATAAGCAATAGTTCAACTATATTTGGTGTATGGTATGATTGTTAGGTGTTCATGTTTGCCTAGTAGGTTTCATTTGACCTTGACCTCATTTACATGGATCTTTAATAGTTTATGTAATACTTGTAGTAAAACCTTCATATAACAGACATATATATAAGTACATGATAAGTAAAGTGAGACATTAAAAGTGTGCAATTTTTTTTTCAAAGACAAAAACACAGTAAACTATGTTTTATTTTATGATTTTAATAAGTTCTTGGAACAAAAAATTTCTTTCAATTTAAGTTTTTTTAAAACCGCTACTTTTAGTAATAGATTAACCAAATTTTTTTTTTTATCTTTGAAAAATTTGAATGGTGAGAAATTGAATAAATTTATTGTTCCATTTTAAAACTTCATAGATTTTTTGTATTACATGCTGACCTTTATAGAGCAATTATACATTTTTTATGTATTGTCATTTCTTTTATATTTTTAGTAGTTGGCTTTCATTGTGATTTATGAAATTAAGACATACAAAGAATGTATTCCGTGCTTATCTTATAGAAAACTCTAACAATTGTTCCTCAAAGTGTGTTTACGAAATTTGAATTCCGGTTATAAGATTCTGTTACAACAACATCATCATAAACAAAACTGAGATGTGAAAAATTCATTTTAATTCTTATCTCCCCTTAAACTGTATTGACTCCTGTTAAGAAACAAAATAAAACTTTGTTCTGTTATTAAGTAATTTATACAAAAATGAAAATCCATATATTTTCTTTTATCAATTTTGGCAAAATTATTTGGATAAGAAACATAAAATATAATTTCAAAATGAAGTAATTTTAATTCCTTGTGTCTTGGTCTTATTGGAACAAAAGGCCTTGATTAAAATTGGACCAATATTAAAAATAATGTACAGTAGGCAGTAACATGTCATCTGTTTTATAATTGTAGTTTACATGGAAACTCCCATCTTCAGTAGATCTGAGAGCAGGTGCAGGTCTGATAGTGAATTATGGTACAGCATACTTGGCTCTAACCAGGAAAGCAAATTTACAACAAGGGTAAACCACTTTTAGCTCAGCTTCATGGCATTATGGTCAACTTTAAAAAATCTTTTCCTCTGAAACCAATAGACCAATTTCAAGCAAAATTTGACTGAATGATCCATAGGGTATTTAATAGCATAAAGTTTGTGTTTTTATTATGCCCCCGCCGTAGCGGTGGGGGCATTAAGTTTTACCCTTGTCCGTCTGTACGTACGTACGTACGTCCGTCCGTCCCAAAATTGGTTTCCGTTCTCTAACTTGAGTTTGCCTCAACCAATTGTTATGAAACTTATACACAATGCTTATTACCACAAAACACAGATCAAATTTGAATTTTGGTGGCGTCACTTTATTCGTTCTAGAGTTATTTCCTTTATAAATGGAAAAATGGAAAAATTTTTAGTTTCCGTTCTCTAACTTAAGTTTGCCTCAACTAAATGTTATGAAACTTATACACAATGCTTATTACCACAAAACACAGATCAAGTTTGAACTTTGGTGGTGTCACTTTCACCATTCCAGAGTTATGCCCTTTTATAAATGGAAAAATTGCAAAATTTTTAGTTTCCGTTCTCTAACTTAAGTTTGCCTCAACTAAATGTTATGAAACTTATACACAATGCTTATTACTACATAATACAGATTAAGTACAAAATTTGGTGGCTACACTTTTACCATTCTTGAGTTATGTCCCTTTATAAACATAAAAATTGCTGAATTTTTCGTTTCCGTTCTCTAACTTAAGTTATGGGACTTACACACAATGCTTATTACCACAAAACTCAGATCAAGTTCAAATTTGGGTAGCGTCACTTTTAATGTTCTTCAGTTATGTCCCTTTATAACTATATAATATGCAAGCGGGGGCATCATCTGTGTCCACATGTGGACACTATCCACATTTATTTGTTCTTCCTAATCAACCAAAATTGCTGCCATGGCTAAAAATAAAAGATAAGTGTAAAATGTAGTAATTGTATAATATATGGAAAATTGTAATAGAAAGAGAATATCTGAAATGACAAAATGTTAAGAATATTAAGATTTACTAGCATTCCTTTTGCCCCAAAATTATCATATGACTCCTTATAGGAGTTATTGCCCCTAAATAATGATTTTGTTTTTACCCATTTTTTGAGGCTTTTGGCTATTACCTTACAAACAATAGAAGATAGCATGAAGCTCTAACAGTAAAAATTATCGGCAAATTAAGGTCTACAAATAAGTCAAACATAACCAAAATTGTCAATCAACTCCTTTATGAAGTTAATGCTCTTCAATTACAAGTTTAACCATATTTTTTTTTATTTATCTCTTCTTGAAAACTTAAATAGATAGAGGGAAATTGTAAACAGCAAAGATTATCAACAAGAGATGATCTACAAAGAAAAGAAATCAAATGACTAAAGCCTATCTCCGTTTAGAAGTTATTATTCTTAAATGATGTTTTAACATATTTTTAGTCTTTGGCAATTATTTTGAAAAGTATAACAGTTAGAGAGAAACTGTACAATAAGCAAACATAACTGTTTGCAAAAAAGTTAAATAAAAATCAAAATGGCTTATCTTTCCCTGGTGAACGATTCAGGGTCTTAGTAGCCTCTTATTTTTATACCCCCGCCTTAGTGGAGGGGGCATTAAGTTTTACCCTTGTCTGTCTGTACATACGTCCCATAATTGGTTTCCGTTCTCTAACTTTAGTTTGCATCACCCAAATGTTATGAAACTTATACACAATGCTTATTACCACAAAACACAGATCAAGTTTGAATTTGGGTGGTGTCACCTTTACCTTTCTAGAGTTATGCCCCTTTACAAATTAAAAAATTGCTGAATTTTTCATTTCCGTTCTATAGTTTAAGTTTGCCACAACCAAATGTTATGAATCTTATACACAATGCTTATTACCACAAAACACAGATCAACTTTGAATTTGGGTGGTGTCACTTTTACCTTTCTAGAGTTATACCCTTTACAAATGGAAAAATTGCTGAATTTTTCATTTCAGTTCCATTACTTAAGTTTGCCTCCACCAAATGTTATGAATCTTATACACATTGCTTATTACCACAAAACACAGATCAAGTTTGAATTTTGGTGTCGTATCTGTTACTGGTCTAGAGTTGTGCCCTTTACAAATGGAAAAATTGCTGAATTTTTCGTTTCCTTTCTCTAACTTAAGTTTGCCTCAAACAAATGTTATGAAACACAATGCTTATTACCATGAAACTCAGATCAAGTACGAATTTGGGTAGTGTCACTTTAACTGTTCTTCAGTTATTCCCCTTTATAACTTTGTATGCAAGTTGGGGCATCATCTGTGTCCCATGGACACATTCCCTTTTTTTTTTTATTTAATGAAATGCAAGAGAGTGGTTTAATTTTACTTAATATGGATTGAGTTAATTACAAGTAGTAAAAAATAGTGTAAAAAATAACAAATTATGTTGGTTGAATAAAATTGAGTTCTAATACAAACCAGCAACAAAAGTACATCACTAAAGCCTGACAAGTTTGAAATGAATACAGCAGATACAAATAAATATTTAACATACATACCAAGTTTCAAAATGGACAAAAAGAAATATTAAGACAACTTTTAAATTTATATGGCAAATTATGATTTTAACGCCAATTTCATGCTTAACTGGACATAAACAAACGATAGTGCATAGGGGGACATGTCCTATGGATACATATTCCTATTATAGTTTAGTTCAAATATGTTTTATAGATGTTCCCAAGCCAATAATACAATTGTTTTGATTTCAGAGAATCTGTTTTAGTTACAGCAGCAGCTGGTGGAACTGGTTTAGCTGCAGTAGAAATAGCCAGTAAAGTATTCAAATCAAAGGTAGTCATAGTTACAGAAGTTAAGTGAAACCTATCCAAGAATCTGTGACACTTGAATTGTCTCTATCATATCATATGCTCTTAAGGACATAATATTTGGTTACAGGGAAGGTATAAATGTGCCAATGTTAAATTATTTCTTTTATATATTCTTGCATACCCACTTCATTTTAGACTTACAAATTTATGTGAAAACAAAGCAATTTTGTTATTTATGGCAGAAAAAGGAAATTTAGGATGTCTTTCCATGCTAGATATCTAATGAATATTCTTTTAGGAGCAAAAGATTGCAGAAAAAAATCAGGAACAAATAGATTCAAAGATAATAATTATTACTTCTGACCAGTCAAAAAAATTACTTTGTCTGTACAATAATCGATCATATACTAAGAACTCAATAAAAAAAGAGCAGGATGTATTACAAAAGTAAAGTCATTATTACCGTAAGTTTTGTCTCTATTCGACAAACTTCGACTCTAATAGACAAATTTTGGAAGCTTTATAAATAATTCTATTTCCATAGTGTTCACATATGACTAAAATCACATCATGTCTATGAAAAACAATAAAGGATACTCAAAGATTTGACCATCAGAAGCAGTATTGTTCAGGTAACTTAACAAATGAAGAAATCCCTTATAGATACCTTAACTTAATCAGTGTTCTCCACAGAAATTTTTGAAGGCGCAAAAAATTGTAGCGCATAACCCTTTTTTTAGCTCACCTGACCCGAAGGGTCAAGTGAGCTTTTCTCATCACTTGGCGTCCGTCGTCCGTCGTCGTCCGTCGTCGTTAGCTTTTTACAAAAATCTTCTCCTCTGAAACCACTGGGCCAAATTTAACCAAACTTGGCCACAATCATCATTAGGGTATCTAGTTTAAAAAATGTGTCCGATGACCCCGCCAACCAACCAAGATGGCCGCCATGGCTAAAAATAGAACATAGGGGTAAAATGTAGATTTTGGCTAATATCTCTGAAACCAAAGCATTTAGAGTAAATCTGACATAGGGTAAAACTGATTATCAGGTCAAGATCTATCTGCCCTGAAATTTTCGGACAAATCTGACAACATGTTGTTGGGTTGCTGCCCCTGAATTGGTAATTTTAAGGAAATTTTGCAGTTTTTGGTTATTATCTTGAATATTATTATAGATAGAGATAAACTGTAAACAGCAATAATGTTCAGCAAAGTAAGATCTACAAATAAGTTGTCATGACCAAAATTGTCAGTCGACCCCTTTAGGAGTTATTGCCCTTAATAGTCAATTTTTAACCATTTTTCGTAAATTTTTGTAATCTTTTACAAAAATCTTCTCCTCTGAAACTACTGATACAAATTTAACCATACTTGGCCATAATCATTATTAGGGTATTTAGTTTAAAAAGTTTGTCCGATGACCCCGCCTTCCAACCAACATGGCCAACTTAGTTAAAAATAGAACATAAGGGTAAAATGCAGTTTTTGGTTTATATCTCTGAAACTAAAGCATTTAGAACAAATCTGACAGGGGGGCAAAAATGTTCATCAGATTTAGATTTATCTGCCCTGAAATTTTCAGACAAATCCGACGACCCGTTGTTGGGTTGCTGCCCCTGAGTTAGTAATTTTACAAACATTTTGCAGTTTTTTGTTATTAACTTAGATATTATTATAATATCTAATATCTAATACTATTAATTATGATTTTAACCTTATTTTACATGATTTCCAAAGCATCAGTAAATACAGGTGAGCGACACAGGCTCTTGAGAGCCTCTAGTTTTGAGTGGGCTATTGTGACACGGAACAATCCTTCAGAAATACAATATGAATTTAAAAGCTTTATGACAGGCTAGGTGTTTAATTATGTACACTATTTATAAATTATTATAAAATAAAATCAAATCAATTTACACTCATCACAGTCCATTAGAGTAAAAATTTAATTCAAGGAGTCCAAATTTAGTAATTTCAAGAGAATATTCTCCTGTTCTTTGAGCATCAGCCCTTTCTAAAGATATTATATTATCTAATTATTAAGCAGTTTGTATTTTTTGGAATACAACTTTTTTTAAAACAAAAGAAATGAAAAACAGGTGTTTGTCATTTCGAGATCGTTTCCGTGTGTATTTGGTACTATCTTTTCTTTGGCAAGTAGAAGCCTGACAAATTCTTCAAAGTTAAGTCCAAAAAAGTATTTACTAGTAACATTATGCATATGCTTCTAAGTTTCTGTTCCCAACTATTGACATCTAGTTGTTAATTGTATTAGTTTTCCCATGCAAAGACCAAAAACCGACATAACTGATTTATTTTTTTAAACATGACAATTAAAGAGGAATTTTACTTTCTATGAACAAAATGTCGCGTTCTGACCCTAACTATCGATTCACATTTTTAATTTATCATAAATATAAGTTTACTGACGTTTTTTTACGTAAAACGACTTCCATTCATAAATATTTGTAGTTGTGTATTGCAAAGCTACCACATGTTTTCATCATGTTCATTGGTTGTATTTAAATAGATTTTATGATTGACCAATGAGAAAATTTGATATTTAATTCGGCAAAGAAATCAGGAAAGCCATGCATAAAAAAGTTTCGTATTTGTTTTTCGATCTTTTTCGGTAATTCCAACACTGAAACACTGAAAAAAGTATCCAAGAAAAATATTTATTTATTCGATTATATTAATCTATGCAATTATGCAATCTGATAAGGCAAATACAGGTAAAGGATAGACTGGAGTCAATCAATAATTGTGTAATTTGGTGTAATATTGATTATCTTCTCAGCTGCTCAGCCGCGATCTTAAACTTTACAAAAGTTATCAACAGTTCATAATTAAATATGAAAATTAACACGCTGCAGGATTATCTTTTAAGGCACTGTGTGCCAAAGTAAGCGCTGCAGGGACAACAAAAATATTTGGAAGGCGCTGCGGTCCGTCATATTGGCCCTGGGAGAACACTGTTAATAATTATACATATTGTTATTTGACATTACATATAGCATGTTATAGCAGCCTGTGGAGGCCCAGAGAAGGGAAATATTGCCAAATCTAAAGGTGCTACAGATGTTATAGACTATAAACAGGAGAAGTTACGGAGCAGGATTGGAGAAATCACGGGTGGAGATGGTGTAAATGTTGTTTTTGATCCTGTAGGTGGTGATATGTTCTTAGACTGTGTCAAAAGGTAAATTGAAGATGCAATAAGTAAAACAGCTATTACTTCCTATAGGAACAAACAAACAAAATTCAGAAGAGACCATTTTAAAAGATCCACAATCCATACCAAATTGATGTCAGGACAAATATTATTAAGATGTTACCAAAAACAACCACAGATAAGCATTCCTAACTTTGGACATGCATAAATATTATGTGGCAGTGTTAGTTTTTTTAGCACTTGATCATTCCCCTTTGACTCTAAATAAGAAGAATAACAAAAGAGACATAAAAGTATATTTAAAATCAGTTCTAAAAAGCACATAACTCTATAATACAAGTTTAGTAGATAAAACAAAAACAGACCAGTAAGAGTTAAAACTGTTTTTATGCCCCAGCCTTATGCCCCCGCCGTAGCGGAGGGAGCATTAATTTTTACCCTTGTCCGTCCGTATGTACGTACGTCCCAAAGTTGGTTTCCATTCTCTAACTTTAGTTTGCCTCAACCAAATGTTATGAAACTTACACAAAATGCTTATGACCACAAAACACAGATCAAAATTGAATTTTGGTGGTGTCATTTTAACGGTTTTAGAGTTATGCCCCTTTACAAATGGAAAAATTGCTGAATTTTATGTTTCTGTTCTCTAACTTTAGTTTGCCTCAACCAAATGTTATGAAACTTATACACAATGCTTATTACAACAAAACACAGATCAAGTTTGAATTTGGGTGGTGTCACTTTTACCTTTCTAGAGTTATACCCCTTTACAAATGGAAAAATTGTGAATTTTTTGTTTCCGTTCTCTACTTAAGTTAGCCTCAACCAAATGTTATGAAACTTATACACAATGCTTATTACCACAAAATACAGATCAAGTTTGAATGTTGGTGGTGTCACTTTTATCGTTCTTCAGTTATGTGCCTTTATAACTTAATATGATATGCAAGCGGGGGCATCATCTGTGTCTCATGGAAACATTCCCCATTTATTTTATTTAGTGTATAGTTACAGAATGGAAAAAAAACTTATTTCATTTGTAGTTTGGCTAGGGAAGGAAGAATTCTAATTATTGGATATGCCTCAAAATCTCTTGTTATTTATAGTTTCACTAGAGAAAGAAGAATTCCAGCTATTGGATATGCCTCACGATATATTTTTATTTTTTGTCTGACTGAAGAAGAGAGAATTCACGCTATTGGATATGCCTCAAGATATCTTATTTTATTTTTAGTCTGGATAGAGAAAGGAGAACTCTTACTATTACATATGCCTCACATTATCTTTTTTTATTTGTAGTCTGGCTAGAGAAAGGAGAATTCTAACTATTAGATATGCCTAATGATATCTTATTTTATTTGTAGTCTGGCTAGAGAAGGGTGCCTCATGATATCTTATTTTATTTGTAGTCTGGCTAGAGAAGGGAGAATTCTTACTATTAGATATGCCTAATGATATCTTATTTTATTTGTAGTCTGGCTAGAGAAAGGAGAATTCTAACTATTAGATATGCCTCATGATATCTTATTTTATTTGTAGTCTGGCTAGAGAAGGGAGAATTCTAACTATTAGATATGCCTCATGATATCTTATTTTATTTGTAGTCTGGCTAGAGAAGGGAGAATTCTTACTATTAGATATGCCTCATGATATCTTATTTTATTTGTAGTCTGGCTAGAGAAAGGAGAATTCTAACTATTAGATATGCCTCATGATATCTTATTTTATTTGTAGTCTGGCTAGAGAAGGGAGAATTCTAACTATTAGATATGCCTCATGATATCTTATTTTATTTGTAGTCTGGCTAGAGAAGGGAGAATTCTTACTATTAGATATGCCTAATGATATCTTATTTTATTTGTAGTCTGGCTAGAGAAGGGAGAATTCTAACTATTAGATATGCCTCATGATATCTTATTTTATTTGTAGTCTGGCTAGAGAAGGGAGAATTCTTACTATTAGATATGCCTCATGATATCTTATTTTATTTGTAGTCTGGCTAGAGAAAGGAGAATTCTAACTATTAGATATGCCTCATGATATCTTATTTTATTTGTAGTCTGGCTAGAGAAGGGAGTATTCTAACTATTAGATATGCCTCATGATATCTTATTTTATTTGTAGTCTGGCTAGAGAAGGGAGAATTCTTACTATTAGATATGCCTAATGATATCTTATTTTATTTGTAGTCTGGCTAGAGAAGGGAGAATTCTAACTATTAGATATGCCTCATGATATCTTATTTTATTTGTAGTCTGGCTAGAGAAGGGAGAATTCTTACTATTAGATATGCCTCATGATATCTTATTTTATTTGTAGTCTGGCTAGAGAAAGGAGAATTCTAACTATTAGATATGCCTCATGATATCTTATTTTATTTGTAGTCTGGCTAGAGAAGGGAGAATTCTAACTATTAGATATGCCTCATGATATCTTATTTTATTTGTAGTCTGGCTAGAGAAGGGAGAATTCTTACTATTAGATATGCCTAATGATATCTTATTTTATTTGTAGTCTGGCTAGAGAAAGGAGAATTCTTACTATTAGATATGCCTCATGATATCTTATTTTATTTGTAGTCTGGCTAGAGAAGGGAGAATTCTAACTATTAGATATGCCTCATGATATCTTATTTTATTTGTAGTCTGGCTAGAGAAGGGAGAATTCTAACTATTAGATATGCCTCATGATATCTTATTTTATTTGTAGTCTGGCTAGAGAAAGGAGAATTCTAACTATTAGATATGCCTCATGATATCTTATTTTATTTGTAGTCTGGCTAGAGAAGGGAGAATTCTAACTATTAGATATGCCTCATGATATCTTATTTTATTTGTAGTCTGGCTAGAGAAGGGAGAATTCTTACTATTAGATATGCCTCATGATATCTTATTTTATTTGTAGTCTGGCTAGAGAAGGGAGAATTCTAACTATAAGATATGCCTCATGATATCTTATTTTATTTGTAGTCTGGCTAGAGAAAGGAGAATTCTAACTATTAGATATGCCTCATGATATCTTATTTTATTTGTAGTCTGGCTAGAGAAAGGAGAATTCTTACTATTAGATATGCCTCATGATATCTTATTTTATTTGTAGTCTAGCTAGAGAAAGGAGAATTCTTACTATTAGATATGCCTCATGATATCTTATTTTATTTGTAGTCTGGCTAGAGAAAGGAGAATTCTAACTATTAAATATGCCTCATGATATCTTATTTTATTTGAAGTCTGGCTAGAGAAGGGAGAATTCTAACTATTAGATATGCCTCATGATATCTTATTTTATTTGTAGTCTGGCTAGAGAAAGGAGAATTCTAACTATTAGATATGCCTCATGATATCTTATTTTATTTGTAGTCTGGCTAGAGAAGGGAGAATTCTAACTATTAGATATGCCTCATGATATCTTATTTTATTTGTAGTCTGGCTAGAGAAGGGAGAATTCTTACTATTAGATATGCCTAATGATATCTTATTTTATTTGTAGTCTGGCTAGAGAAAGGAGAATTCTAACTATTAGATATGCCTCATGATATCTTATTTTATTTGTAGTCTGGCTAGAGAAAGGAGAATTCTAACTATTAGATATGCCTCATGATATCTTATTTTATTTGTAGTCTGGCTAGAGAAGGGAGAATTCTAACTATTAGATATGCCTCATGATATCTTATTTTATTTGTAGTCTGGCTAGAGAAAGGAGAATTCTAACTATTAGATATGCCTCATGATATCTTATTTTATTTGTAGTCTGGCTAGAGAAAGGAGAATTCTAACTATTAGATATGCCTCATGATATCTTATTTTATTTGTAGTCTGGCTAGAGAAGGGAGAATTCTTACTATTGGATATGCCTCATGATATCTTATTTTATTTGTAGTCTGGCTAGAGAAGGGAGAATTCTAACTATTAGATATGCCTCATGATATCTTATTTTATTTGTAGTCTGGCTAGAGAAGGGAGAATTCTAACTATTAGATGTGCCTCATGATATCTTATTTTATTTGTAGTCTGGCTAGAGAAGGGAGAATTCTTACTATTGGATATGCCTCATGATATCTTATTTTATTTGTAGTCTGGCTAGAGAAAGGAGAATTCTTACTATTAGATATGCCTCATGATATCTTATTTTATTTGTAGTCTGGCTAGAGAAGGGAGAATTCTAACTATTAGATATGCCTCATGATATCTTATTTTATTTGTAGTCTGGCTAGAGAAGGGAGAATTCTTACTATTGGAAATACCTCATGATATCTTATTTTATTTGTAGTCTGGCTAGAGAAGGGAGAATTCTAACTATTAGATATGCCTCATGATATCTTATTTTATTTGTAGTCTGGCTAAAGAAGGGAGAATTCTAACTATTAGATATGCCTCATGATATCTTATTTTATTTTTAGTCTGGCTAGAGAAGGGAGAATTCTTACTATTGGATATGCCTCAGGAAAAATACCCAGTATTCCTGCCAACCTTCTTCTTTTGAAATCTGGATCAGCCATGGGTTTATTTTGGGGTGAATATAGAATTATGAACACACCAGTGTTCATGAAATCAGTAGAAGATGTTTTAGAACAGGCAAGACTAGGAAATATAACACCACATGTTGGAAAAGAATTTCCACTTAATAAGGTATGGCATCATTTAGCTAGTTAAAATCAGTCCATTATTGTATATGACCACAAATTTGCGTATAGTTGAATATTATTTTATCAAGCTTGATAAGCTTTGAAAGCTTATACATTGTTCTGACTATTGTAAAATTTATGAATAGGTATGTTCTAAAGAACTACTTTTACTAGATTATTGAATTTTGGTTTACTTTTGCATTCACATCCCTTCATTTCAGGCCAAGGGTTAATGTACTCTCCGCCCCTTAGTCATGCTTCAGTGACATACAAAAAATGTTAAATTGCTGTAGACAACTTTTCAGCAAACAAGTTCAAAAAGGCTTTGTATTGTGCCAATCAACTGATATTTTACATTATTATTCTTTATGCAAATTTCTTATATTATCCATTCATTTCGTTGGACACGGGGCATTTGTTAATTTTCACTAACCTTTCATTAGCCAGACCCACTCATAGCAATATGTGATAATATTAGCAACAGATGCTAATGCCTAAAATTAACACCTGCTGAGCATGAAGTTTGCCGATCAAGAATAATTAACAACCGCTCGGGCAGATGTTTACCGATTCTTATTTCTACATCATTTCCATCGTTTTGTTGTTATTAGTAATCTATCTTAATTTATGACTTTATCTTTACAATTGTCCTTCTAATAACATAGTGCACACTTGAATCATAAGGCATTCAGTATAATAAAAAACATACTGGCCTTGGATGAAGGTGTTAGGGTGATAAACACACTCGGTGAACAAAATATCACTCACGACTTCATCTTGTTTCCCTGGTTGATATGTCAAGCATTTGATTCTGTCAGGTTTTATGGATTCCACCTTTTTGAATTTACCTTGGAGTTTAGTACTCTTTTTTCGTAAAATCTTTTACAATATTTTTACAGATTAATGAGGCATTCCAGTATGTAATGGGACGAGGATCGACAGGAAAAGTTATCATAAGTATGGACAGACAAGATTCTAATTTATAACATATGTCATCAGTAGGAAGAAAACATTGTCATTTAATGTCCTTGATGGCAAATCTTCAGTCTAACACTGTAAACAGACTCTATGCTAAAGCATGCATATCCTTACAAATGAATAATTATTTTTTTATAAATAAAGATAAGACCAAGAGTACTAAAATTTTTAGCTATTTACTTACCTGTATGTGTTAGTTATCTTCAAGTCTCTTCATGCAATTTATCATTTTTTTTTTTTTATATAAAAATAACCTGGAAGAAAATTGAAACTGGAGGATCACTAGCTTTATTCAAAGCTTTGTCATTTATTGGAAAAAAAACTTTTTTTTTATGCTTTACAAAATGATGAGGAATTTTATTAAAAGTTAGCAGTTTGAGTAAAAACTGTACCATCTTCATTGCACATTATAAAATGGCCTAAGTCAATCGATTATCAAAGTCATTATTTTCTAATTCTGTTTTTTAAAAATGCCTTTGAAAGTAAGAGTGTTTGTATTTTATTGTAAATGCATTTAGGAAGACTGGCTTTCAGACTGTTATAAATCATAGTTTGCTGTTGTATAGATCTAGCTTGCATGTCAGAATGTAGATAGTTAATGTTCAATCGAATTGAGTGAAATATGAATGATAATGCATTGTTATTAATTAATATATATATTATACACAGAAATATTTTTTACAATTTGTTGATTTTTTATGATTATCATTAAAATTTATATATACATAGTGTTTTAGTTTTGTTTTTACCTGCTTTGTCAGAGATTCCACTCTTACAATATGTCTGATGTTCCATCCATGCATCAGAAAGACATAGAGGGTCCCTAATTTGGTTCAAGCACAACTGCACTAATTTTCCTTCAACATCCATCAAACTACACACTTGAACATTTTATTTTGAACAGATTTTAATTATTTTTTCTCTGATTACCCTTCTATGGAACTTTTTTTGTCATTAAATGTTGTAGATGTACCAGTTTAGTCATGTGTAACTTCAACAGTTTATCTGCCTTTGCACAGTGATCGCATAAGATTGGAGATGTGCACATTTTATTTTTGACTTTTTTTTTTTTGCTCAGGATTTTCATGTGAAGACCTAATTAATTTTGTCCTTGAATTCTATAAAGGGTGCCTTTTTTATATAATGTGTAACTTCAACAGGTTTCCTGCAACTTTATTTAAATTTGCACAGTGATTGTACACAGCTTAAAGATATGCACCTCCTATTTTCATTAATTTGAATGAGTTTTCTCAGTTTCCCCATGTATGGAACTTAGTCATTGTTGTCATTGAATGCTATTGATGGTACCTATAATGGCTATATAAAAATAAAGAGATGTGCTATGGTTGCTAATGAGAGAACTTTCCCCAATAGTTCAAATGAAATGGATGTAAGCAACTATAGGTCACCATATGGCCTTTACCTAGAGCCAAACCCATACGGTATAGTAGGCTATAAAAGGCCCAACATGACAAAATGTGAAACAATTTAAATGAGAAAAACCAACGACCTGATAAAGAATTAATGAAAAACACATATGACCGACATGAAACAATGACAACCACTGAACTACAGCCTCTTGACTTGGGACAGGCACATCAAGAATGTGCCTCAGTTGTCTCATGTGAAACCCAAGCAGTTTTTCTTCGACATTCTTTAAATTTTGCACAGTGTGCATCTCCTATTTTGGACAGATTTGGATAAGTTTACATTTAGTTTCCCATTTGGGGAACTTCATTTTTATCATTGAATTCTTAATCTGATGCAGCACATGCAAATCCATTCTTTTATCTGAGATATTTCTTAACTACCCTTTGGAAGTACCATTTTCATGGTATTTATTGTTCGCACCCTTGACTTTTGATTAAATTCTTGAATTTGAATATTTTCTAATCTTAATGGGGATGTTGGCAGTACTTCATATCACCACACTGCAATTCAGGTTTACATATATGGCACTGGTCTCTTTTCTATAAGCACCATGCAATGCAGGTTTATTTATATGGCACTGGTATCTTTTCTATTAGCCACATGTAATGCAGGTTTATATATATGGCACTGGTCTCATTTCACTTAGCCCCATGCAATGCAGGTTTATTTATATGGCACTGGTCTCATTTCTATTAGCCCCATGCAATTCAAGTTTATTTATATGCACTGGTCTTATTGTATTAGCACCATGCAATGCAGGTTTATAAATGTGGCACTGGTCTCTTTTCTATTAGCACCATGCAATTCGGGTTTATTTATTTGCACTGGTCTTATTGTAACAGCACCATGCAATATGCCGTACGCCATAATGCAATGCAGGTTTATATATATGGCACTGGTCTCTTTTCTATTAGCACCATGCAATTCAGGTTTATTTATATACGCTGGTCTTATTGTATCAGCACCATGCAATGCAGGTTTATATATATGGCACTGGTCTCTCTTCTATTAGCCCCATGCAATTCAGGTTAATTTATATTCACTGGTCTTATTGTATCAGCACCATGCAATGCAGGTTTATATATATGGCACTGGTCTCTTTTCTATTAGCCCCATGTAATGCAGGTTTATTTATATTCACTGGTCTTATTGTATCAGCACCATGCAATGCAGGTTTATATATATGGCACTGATCTCTTTTCTATTAGCCCCCATGCAATTCGGGTTTATTTATATATTTATATGCACTGGTCTTATTGTAACAGCACCATGCAATGCAGGTTTATAAATGTTGCACTGGTCTCTTTTCTAATAGTACCATGCAATTCGGGTTTATTTATATGCACTGGTCTTATTGTATCAGCACCATGCAATGCAGGTTTATATATATAGCACTGGTCTCTTTTCTATTAGCACCATGCAATTTAGGTTTATTTATATGCACTGGTCTTATTGTATCAGCACCATGCAATGGAGGTTTATAAATGTTGCACTGGTCTCTATTCTATTAGCACCATGCAATTTAGGTTTATTTTTATGCACTGGTCTTATTGTATCAGCACCATGCAATGCAGGTTTATAAATGTTGCACAGGTCTCTTTTCTATTAGCCCCATGCAATTCAGGTTTATGTATATGCACTGGTCTTATTGTATTAGCACTATGCAATGCAGGTTTATATATATGGCACTGGTCTCTTTTCTATTAGCCCATGTAATTCGGGTTTATTTATATGCACTGGTCTTATTGTATCAGCACCATGCAATGCAGGTTTATAAATATGGCACTGGTCTCTTTTCTATTAGCACCATGCAATTCAGGTTTATTTACTATCAGCACAATTCAATTCATGTTGAATTTATATGGCACTGATCCTGTTCCATCAGGACCATGCAATGAATGTTTATTTTCCTGCACTTTTCTAGTTTTATCAGCACCATGCAATGCATATTTATTTATATGGCAATTGTCTTGTTCTATCAGCACCACGCAATTCAGGTTTACTTATAGGGCAATTGTCTTGTTATATTATTTATATTTGACTGGTCTGGTTCTATTAGCACTATGCAATGCAGGTTTATTTTTACTGATCTTTTTCCACAGCACCATGCAATGAAAACTTATATATATGGCACTGGTCTTGTTCTTTGAGCACCATGCAATGAATGTTTAGGGAGCAACCATTTAACTTCAAGGGGGTTATGGTTTTTTGTCTGAGTCAGAAAATAGTTTTCGTCGCTATCAATCAATTTTTTTCTTCTTCAAAATTTAACACCATAAGGCCTGGATTCAGAATATTTTTGAAGGAGGATTTTGAAAATAAATAACTCAGCCTTGATAATAACAAAAATGAATGGTTTGTTCTGTGGAAGTTTGAAAATAAATAACCTGACCTACAATATATTGAAAATAAATAACTCGGCAGGTCTTTTAAGCCATTTTATAAATGCTATTCAAAAGTATGAAATGGCACCAGATTCCTACAAAATTCGTCTTTTTTTCATATTTTTTTCGGGAAAAACTTTCCAAATCTTTTATAATGCAATGTATAAATATTAATGTACTTGTAATGTCTGAAAATGGGTTTCATTTAACTAGAGGAATATTAACTCAGGAACATTTACCTCACTTTCATAAGTCATAGGGCTGTAACTAAATTGAGGCAAATGCCTCAGGTAGGAAATTTCAAAAACAAAAGCTTGTCTTCATATAAAATTGTTTTTACTTCGAATGCCTTGCAAGAAGCAAGTTCTGTTCACCCTCTGGCATACAGCCCCTGTTTTTCATGATCCATGTTTCACATTTAATTTTAGTTTTCAGTGTTATTTGTCTATAATGTTTGCCGTTTTGTGTTTCATCTGTTCCAGGGTTTGTCTTATGTTCATTGATTGCCCTTCTTTATTCTCTCAGTGTTGCATTCCATTTGTAATTTAGTAATTTTTTTAAACTTGAGTTTAATTTTATTTAAGGACTTTTTATCTAATTTTACAAACTACATGAATTTCAAATTGTATCTCAGTTAGGAACTACATCAAGTTGTAATTGAAATGTGTTATAAAAACTTACCTGACATAGTTATATCAATGATAATCAACCTCTCTTAAATTAATTTGAGAACAAAAACACATAATTGACAGGTATATCAAAAAGATTTTCTGCAAGCCAAAACACTAAAAAAAAAACAAAAAAAATCAGCCACATACTTAATTTTCTTAATTACACTTGTTGCTTTATCCTACATATTGGTCTTTTGATGTTGTTCCTAAAAACTAAAAGTCTTACACTGAATCTATATATTTTGCTTTGAGACCAACATATTGTCTTCTTGTGGCCTTCAGCGGCTCCCAAAACCTTCGGCAAATATGTTTGACATTACTTTAAAAAGAGGCTTAGTTACAGCCCCACGTATAATGATAACGCAATTATATGATTCATGCTTTGAGACAGCCCCTGTGTGCGTTGTGTGTGTAGTATTTAATACAACGTGCTATTGTGCATTGTGACAATAAATCTGGGAATAGTATACTAATATATTATGTCTCAGAATAAACTGATTATTTCTTAACGTTTAACCACGTGACATTATTTACTTTAATCATAGCCTGGGCAAATGTCGGAAAGCAAGAAGAAAATTAACAAAACATATATGTTATATATGTTATAAATACATCTAAGGTCGGAAAGCATAATTATACAATTGTATAATATGTCTCTGTTATAATTTAACAAAACAAAATTTCTGTCAAAATAATTTCATTAAAATACACTAACAGGCCAAGAAAATATTCATTAACATTATTAAGTTTAAACTGAAACTAAATTTGTCATTAATAGAATATAATGTATGATGTTATATTATGTCCGTGAATACATTTATGAAAATTATATGCAACATATAAGCACTAACTATCAGGGATTCGTACACATAAGTAAGTTAAATTTAAACTGTAGTGAATGAAAAAAATATTCCACAACGATTTTAAATCCTTGCATCTCAACACAAACGTATTTAATATGTTACAATAATCATTTAATTACAACGTTAATTATTTAATTTCGTTTTAGTATATATGGTTTTATAAGTCTCTGCTTATATTTTGTATAGCAATATATTCATATCATGGAAAGTCAGACTTGAAGAAGAGATTGATTTGATAAATAAATTGTCCATTAGTAAATACTTGATGTTTGTTTTTATTAATATTATATTTTTAAATTTTCGGAAATGATTCATTAACAGGAATGTATGTTAATTAAATTTTAATTTTTTTTTTTTTTTTTTTTTTTTTTTTAA